GGGCGGGGCGTGGTCTCATACCACAATGCGCATTTCCAACCGGTGCGCTAACCACCTACTTTCCTCCGGGTGAACTGGTGGGTTAAAAAACCACCTGTACTGACGGGGGGGCGGGGCGTGGTCCCACGTAACTGGATTCTTTGTTTTGGATTGTTCTGGCACAAACGAAAGATAAAAAAAGGGAAAAACAGTAGGACAGGAGCCTTGTTTTCCCCTCTTGGATTTCGTCTACAACCCGATAAGGCAGCCAAATCTGGGTGATCTTCTTCTGTTTCTTTTTCTTTTTTTTTTTTCTACTGGGTTGGAGGCCGACGAAATTAAAAAGAAAAAAAAGAAAAGGAAAAAAGACAGAGTTTCGAATGGACGGACGTAGGGGAAGGCCTCACGAGGGTGGCACGCACTATGTGGGGTTCTAGTTTGCCTTTTTTTTTTTTGGGGGGGGGGGGTTGGTTTCCTGTGGTTGTAGTGCCCTGCCAACCAGTGAGGGCGTATTTCACAGGTGGCACAGAACTGTCAGAATGCTGTAGCATCCTGTATCCGCCCTCCATCACAGCATCAGCGAGTTTTTTTTTTTTTTTTTTTTTTTCCCCCATTGTTTGTCTGCTACAGGCCCTCACTGAGGGCACAGTCACATGAGCACCTCACAGAATGTATCTGGTGGTTATTGTGGTGACGGGGATGTTTCTTTTTTCGCTTTTCCTTCTTCTTTTTTTCCTTGTCAATTCTTGGGCGAAACTTGGCAAAACTCAGTGCGCAGCTAGGTAATTCAGGATAGTGTTTTACGCATTTGCTCATTTGCTTCCAGTGGAGTTTGAACTCAGGCCTGTAAGGCCACCGTACCTAGTCGGCTCTAGTGGCCCACGGCGACCATGTCTATGCGTCGTGGATGACATTGTGGAGCTTGTCCGGCATGCTCCGAGGAGAAGGAGTACCTGCTGGCGGTGGGTGTGGTCCGTTGCGTATGATAAATGGATGACGTGGAGCGCTGGTGCATCTCCCCTGTTATAGGCTGTATGCAACCAAGATCAGGGCGCAATTGGCGCTGCTGGTCTCAGATATGGAGCTTTATTTCTCAAACAACACATTGATACTGCCTAGTTTTTTTTTCCATTGAGACGGCTGTGAGCTTCCTTGATTAGCACGGATTAGTTGTCCTACATGTCGATGGAGCTTGGCCAGGGGAATTATGGTTTCCCGTACGTCTTGTTCCTTTGCCAAGGAAAACTATGTGCTGACTTGCTAAAGACGAGTTGTCCTTATATCTTGTTTTGTCTTATGAGGTTAATAGACTTTGGATTGGCCGGGATTTGGTAGTGCTTTTTCCTTTTGGAAGACTGTGGTTTTCTACAGGGGAGGGGCTCCATCCGACGAAGCGGGATTGGAGACCTTGCGAACCCTGAATCTGCAGTGCTTTGACATTGTGTTTTTGCCTTGGGCACTGGGCCCTAATAAAACTACTGTTTCTT